CTCTCCAGGCCCTGCCTGTCTTCCTCCGTTCTCACCTTGAATTAGTGAATCATCTTGGCATTTATTTTACTCCTGATATCACCTCGGTGACAGAAAACATGTATTTCTACCCTCAAATCCCTGTAATGAAGTCTCACATTCCCGTGTTTTCCTAAACAAGAACAGGTGGAAGCATGTACTTATCAGTTTTCCTGAGTCAGGGTCATTCACTCTTGGTTTCTGTCACTTCCTTCATGTCCAGAAATTCAGGTGCATTTTCAGAGCTCTTTAAGTGATTTAGGAACTCACTGCAATACGAACTGTGCCCTGGCCATCTGGATGTTCACTGTAACTTTGTTCCTAAGTGTCTTAAGCTGCATTTGAATGTGTGCCCAGAGTGCTTTTATGAAAAATAGGATCTCGGGAGCAAAATGTACTGTCATCTTATCACCAGCTGGGCTTGGAGAGCTTGAACCTGGACTGAGGAATTAGATCCTGACCCAGGAGGAGAATTAAGTCTATTTGTACTTTGCTGGGCCAGGGTAGAAGCACTCAATGCCCTGTAAGCATGTATAAGCAGAGTTTTTTCTTAGAGAGATGAAATTGTTAGGAAGCAGGAGCAGAGAAGGGATGGAATATTATGAATTCTCCAAATTAGTCTGTTAGCTTCTACTTTAGGGAAGAGGTAGAAAGCACAGCAACACTCAGTAATCTACCCAGTTAAGAGTATCAAATGTGTGCTAGGAACCCCTGCTCAGAGAAAGGACCAATCCCTGCTTCGAGGATAACAGACTATCTGCTAAAACACTCTGTTTTCCAACAGGAGAGATGCCACAGTCAAAAAAACGCTCCCTAAATCTTATCTTTTCCTGTCTTATACAGATTTAGTCCCATATGGGACATACAGCTAAAAGTAGCAACACATCTTTCATTCCTGCACTCAGTTCTCCTGGGTTCTCGTCAGTACAGCCTCAGAGAGCAGGAGTGGAAAGTCTTTTTCTACAGTCAGGGTGAAACCTAAATTGCATCTCTAAGTCAAAACCAAGATTACTTCAGCTTTTCAAGGTCTCTCCTCTCCTCTCCTCTCCTCTCCTCTCCTCTCCTCTCCTCTCCTCTCC